GCTCAGTAGTAGTGCACTTGCCTAGAAGGTCAAGACCCTGGCTTCAATCCCCAACACTGCAAACAAACAAACAAAAAGGTTCACTGGAAATTTGTATATTAAGCAATTGATAAAGGCTCCTTAATACAGTATCCTGAGATGTCTTATGAATGTTACAAGAAGAGAAAGCATAAGTATTTCCCAGTCATATTTGACCAATGGATACTATTGCCCTGAGCACCTATTAAAAAAATCTATTATTGTAGGAAATGCAAAATGAAAGATCTATATTGTGACAAATGGCTAATCATTTGGTGAAAGGTAAGAGGGTTATGAGATTTGTTGTGAGATTTGTTGATCTTTATTAACATCACCTCACAGCCATTAGGAAAATGTTTCTTTTCTGCCACTATCTCTTGATTACAGAAATAATAGAGTGGAAATTCTGAGGGACCCTTGGCGAGAAACAGACTCATAGGAATGACAAGGGGGAGTCTTGGTGCTCAGTACCAAGACACCCAAATTCCTTGAAAAACAATGGTTAAGCAAACACATTAAAAAACCTTACTTCTTCCAAAAAGAGAGTATCTGGAAGTCTGTATTAGTGGATTGCTATCTTCTCTTTAATGCTTAGGGACACCTAAATTGATGCTTTCAATTCTATGTGGAGTTGAAGAATGAAGAATGGGAGAGAGGGAGGGAAAAGGAAGCACAGTATATATGGAGTCTTCACCAACAGAGAGAAGCTTTTGGAAATGACAGAAATAGATGGTACTTTTTTAAAAATACAGAAAAGCAAAGCTTCAGTTAAACCTAGAAGAAAAAAGCACATGAGATAAAGCAAATTGGTTTCTTTTTAAATAGGCAGGTTCCAGAGCCCCTGCTGTGGCCTCGAAGGGTCGAGAATATTTTAGCTTACCTTGTGGGTTCTCTGCAGAGTCAGGAGTCTATGTGTGCAGCTCTGTACCTGTTAGGTGTACAGTGTGGCTAGGCTAGACATATTCACCTGCTAACAAATACTGATCAGCATTTAAAATGCTGATCAGCATTTAAAATCAGTTCCTGCCACTGCCCTGAGGGGCCCTTACCTAAATGGGATATACGCACCCACACTGGCCTCACCCCCAACCAACTGAACAGAGCCCAGTAAAATGTCATATTGGCACCAAAGAAAAAGACTATGTTTGCTTGCATATGCAAAATGTTGACTAAGAATATGCCAGATTTATTTAGGCATTTCTTCAAATCATTTTTCTGTGCTAAGGCAAGGAAAAATAAATAAATAGTATTTGCAAATAGAATTATCCAAGTATATAGGTATTTGACATTTGAGGTAATACTTCTGATTTCCTAGTGACACATTATTTCAAATTTGACTATTAAAAATTAATTTCCTTTTTTGGTGTGTGGCACTCTGTCATCTATCAGTTATCTATATAGCTATTTATCTTTCTATCTATCTGTCTCAATATCTGGCCTCTGCCCAGAGGACAAAGTGAGTTAAAATGCAGAAATTATAGAAAAGAGGCTAATGCCTGGTTTCCCTAGTGCTGAACACTTTTATGAAAAATTTGATTGGAACTTTCCTGATTATTCAGTTGTTTCCCTTCTGCATAGATCTATAATTCTAACTGCAGAATAAGTACCTGCCACTGCATGACAAAATTAGATATTCTAAAAGTATCTTAATTTGTTATTTGAAATTTCCCAGGAATAAAACAACTGTTTCCAATAACCTAGTAACTTTAGCCTTATCTTTGACCTTTAGTCCTTTTGTAATCACCTTTTTTTTTGTTCCATGAAAGTTAATTTAAACAAGTTTTTATTAAAAAATAAATAAATAAATAAATAAAGAGCCGATTATATGACTTTAAGGAAACTATGTAAAACATGAACTCAGGTGCAAAAGTCATAGCAAAATATGCAAAAACTACAGTAGTTTGTGAAGATGGAAGGATTATGGATTGTTTGATTATTCAGTGCCTTGCTTTAACTGGTTTTAAATGACTAAAGCATTATCTGTTATTCCTAATGGTAGGACTTCCAGTTATCCCTCAAAAATGTCATTAACTCTCTTCAGGCCTTCAAATTGTATATGCAATCATTAAAGACAAGCAAGTATATATTTCCTAACAAGCCATCCCTGTGGATCACCTACTGAAATGTGCTATTGGAATTGAACACAAGGCAAAATGTCCCTGATGTGTCAGAGTAGGCAAAGGCCTAGACTGGAGGAAACCTTCTCATCCAGAGAAAGATAAGATAGTTAAGTGGACAAAGTTAAATCTCACTTTGCCCTTTGACAGTGTGGTTGAAAAGACAAAGAGGCATATGTGAGTCAGACACAGTTGAAAAGTCTGGCTTGGTCAAAATGCATCCCCATGTGCTGTATGTGATTCATAAGGCCCATCCCATGGCATGCGGATGACTTGAGGAAACTCATGTGCTGCTCCTAACACATCATTTCATGGTAGATGAATAGTGACCACAGAGCATAGGGATTCAGTGTAGGAAGGAGCTGAGTCAGCATCAGAGGAGCTCTCATAGCTTCATATGTCCTCATTATGAAATGCAACTGAAGAGAGATGACAGTACCGTGAACAGTATTGTTGGGTGCAAAGTATTACCATGAGGGACAGCAGTTGGCTGTGAAGGGAAAGAGCCATATTTTATAGAGATGCAGAGATCAAGATGAGCCTACTGGATAAATTTACCATCCCAAGAGGAACAACCAGGCTTTATGTCCCTCCATGTGATGCATATGAATTCACAGCACCTTCTATCAAGTATTCTTGCAAAAGGAGAATGTCAAGCCTTAGAGCTGGAGAAAAATGGAGATAAGTGCAGAATAAGGGACATTTTTATAGGGCACCTGATATGTCTTGGATACAAGCAATATAAAAATCAAATAGAAGAGATTAACTTCAGAGATACAGTATGTCAGTGACATAGAGTGGACTTTGTATCTTGATTCAAACAAATCTACTCTAATTGGGGAAGATATTAAGGTGGACTATGTATTATATCATAGTAAGAAATTACTGCTAAATTTGTTAGATATGATATTATTATTCGTTATGGTCAGCCTTTTCATCACCATGACCAAAAGACCTGACAAGAACAATTTCAAAGCAGGAAAATTTTATTTGGGTCATGGTTTCAGAGGTTTCAGTTCATAGTCAGTTGACTCCATTGTTCTGGATCCCAGATGAGGCAGAACATCATGGCGGAAGGGTGTGGAGGAGGAAAATAGCTCAGGACATAGCAACCGGGAAGGGAAAGAAAGAAATCTACTCAACAGGAACAAAATATAACCCCGAAAGACTCCCCCTCCAGTGACCTGCACCTCCAACTACACACTACCTGCCTATAGACTTAAAATAGATAAATTCCTAAATATTAATTCTCAAAAATAATTAACTGTGATTCTTTCCCTGAGTAAGGTTTAAGAATTAATTTGTCCACATCCATTAAAAAGGGGCAAAATGTTCTCAGGGGCCACATGTGATAACCAAAATCAGACCTCATCATATACTACTAGTAGAAAATAATTTGATTCAGCATCTGGGGAGGGCAATTTGGCAAAAACAACCCCAGTACCAATACACTTCCTTAGCTACCATTCTAGCTTCTAGGAATTATCCTTTGAACACATACAAAGCTATTGCTATGAAGTGTTCATCGACATTCACCACAACAGTATTTTAATAGCAAATAACTGAAAGGACCCCAATTGTTTACCAATAGGAAACTGGTTAAAGAGATTACCACTATCCAGGAAAAGGAATATTAATCAGCTCTTACAACTAACATAAAAGATCCAAATTGCCAACGTGGAAGTATTTTTAAGATATGTGAAATTTTAAAAACTGGTACAGAAAACTATGAAACCATTTGGAGTCTTAAAAAAAATCTAGAAGCATACAGGCAATGAATAACAATATTTACCTTTGAGGTAAAGGATTGGCAGGAAAGAAGGTTGAATTTTTTACTTTATACACTTAAACATTTACCATGGGCTTATTTAAATTTGTATTTAAAAAAGGAAAGGAAAACATTTAAACAGAATTATATGTCCCATGTGCTGAGAAAATTCATCTTAAAAATGTAATTAGGAAGGTGATTCTGTTAGGGAAAAATGTATAAACCAAAGCCATTTTTAAAATTTGTAAATTACAAAGTATTTTAGAAAGAGCAATTATTCCTTCTATAGTGTTGGTAAATTATGCAAAATTATATGAAACTCTGAAAGTACTTGGAACTCATCAAACAATGTTATATAAAAGATGAAATTTTACTGTTTTTTAAAATATTGTTTAATTACACATGGACACAATGTCTTTATTTTGTTTATTTATTTTTATGTGGTGCTGAGGATTGAAACCAGTGCCCCACATGTGTGAGGCAAGCGCTCTGCAACTGAGCCACAACCCTAGCCCCAAAATTTTACTGTTTTTCAAGTGCAAGTCCTAGCTGAGAAAACACTGGAGAAATATTTCAGTTTATCTACCATGGAAACTAAACATTAGCCTTCTGAATCTTAAAATAGGATAGTGTTAGTGGCACCTACCATATTTCTACATTCATCATCTCATTGATCTCACATTAACTTTGCAGGACAGGTGGTATCTACCCCAATCTTCACATGGGGAAACTGACGCTAGGGGTATAAATTAACTTGCTCAAAGTCACACAAAGTAAATGAAAAGTCAAGAACCCATGGCAGCTCATTTGGTTCGCCCTGCCCTCCTCCATCTTCATTATTTGGGGAACAACAAAGAGGGTAGAGGAAGTCATTTGGTCTGTGACTCTTGCCTTTCTTTATTTCTTGTTTTTTTTTTTGTTTGTTTGTTTGTTTTTTTGCAACTAGCTGTGCTTTTTTACCCATTATTTCATCCTAGGAGAAGACTCTTAATGGAAAGCTTCACAAGTGTCCAGGATTATGGAGAATTTATTAGCTGTATTTTCTTGGTGTTTTCAGTAAGACAGAGAATTGACAGCTCTTGCGTCTTCTTTTTCAGATATTGTGGATGCTTTATCAGATCCAAAGAAATTTCTCTCAATTACAGAAAAGAGAGCAGACCAAATGAGAGCTATGGGCATTGAAACTGTAAGTAGACATGGTTGATTAGATATAGTAAGGTGGCGAGTTTGGTCACCAAACTGTGATTACAAAAGCAAGACAAAGTAATAAATTATTGAAGAAGATTTAAAGGGGGTTTTAAAACTGAGCTTATTGATTTCCTAATAGTTTCAAGGGTCTACAACAATACAGGCTATTGAGTAAAATGTGGCCACCATCAGAAAAAGCCACTTCTATGATAGTAGCTTAGCACATGTGAGGACCCCTGCCCCATTAGAAATGAATTGGAAAACATCTGTGATGATATTAGAGCAATTTACAATATAAAATGCTTTTGAAGAACTAACTAACCCAATTCAGTGAATGAATGAAGACAGCATTTGTCTTCACTTTTAACCTTTTAACTTTTAACTTTAACCCTTGTATCAATGCCTCCCATTCCAATTCATGCTTTGTTGATTCTTTTATTTGTAAATGTTTTATTTACCAAACTCCTCCATTTGGAGTAGAAGCAACCCTCTCTCCAGGAGCTGGAAAGGTGTTCCATTATCTTTCCTTGTCTCCATCCTTTGGCTAATGCCTAAGGAATCCACATCTTCTCTACTCCTCCCAGGCAAAGACCCTTTCAGAGAGTAAAACCCCAGGGCAGGGAAACAGGAGATGCTGAGGCTAGATGGAATCCACTAAAACAATGTGTAAGATATTAAATCTTGGGTGACATTCATTTGGGTCAGTCTGAATGTTTTTGTTCCAGAGTGACATAGCTGATGTGCCCAGCGACACTTCCAAGAACGACAAGAAAGGAAAGGCCAACCCAGCCAAAGCCAATGTGACCCCTCAGAGTAGCTCCGAGCTCAGACCCACCACCACAGCCGCCCTGGGCCCCGGCGTGGAAGCCAAGAAAGGTGCAGTAGAGTTGTGGGGCTCCTTACCTCTTCTGGCAATTGGAGCTGCTATTAAAATTGTCTTTCATAAGGGGATTTAGAATCACTAATTTCGCCAGTTTTCACTTGATCTTAAAACTGCAAAGGAGCACATTTTCTTATGGATTGGACAAAGCACTTAATTTCCCTGTTTAATAGGGGGTGAAAATTGGGCACAGTGGTGCACACCTGTAATCCCAGTGCCTCTGGAGGCTGAGACAGAAGGATCAAGAGTTCAAAACCAGCCTTAGCAAAAGCAAGGCACTTTCATTCTAATTGGCTAGACTTCTATTCTGATTCAATGGTGCTCATCCTACACTGATAATTAAACGTTTTAAATATCCTCCTTGACCTTGAATCATTTAGGACAGTCACTCTCCTTACAGCAATAAGAATTTTTATTTTACCTTATGGATTCTTACTGTCAGTTTTGTTTATTCATTTATGCATGAATTCAGTGTCCTCAATATAAGGAAATCAAGTTTTTCTTACACTTATGTACACACAGTGCTGCAGTTAAAGGTAAGAAGTGACAGACGTTTCCAATCCAAAGCAATGTAGCAATTTAGTGGGAAACTGTGCATTGAGCTTTGGGAAACAAATTAGAAAATGAGAAGGCACAAAGTATCTCAGTTTTGCCCTGGTCCTCCAGCTGTTTGTCTGTTCTTTCTTGAAAAGAACATGGAGCAATGTAATGACACAGGCTTTGGGCATTGCATACTGGCCCTGGTCATTATGAACATTAGCCACTCAGTCAGAGATGGACAGTGGAAAATGAGGGAGCTGTGTTAAAGTTCTTGTCTCACACCTACCAATACATAAAGACATTAGAAATTATAGGGTGTTAGGTGGCCTGAGAAAGAGTGTGACCAACTTAAGACAGCCGTGATTCTTGTTCCAGAGGGAACATGCTTGTGTTTAGAGCTGCTTTACCTTGGTTCCCAAGAAGGCTGCATTTGAAGGAGCCAAGCAGCTGTCACTCTGCTCTAGTCTTCCCCATGGATGCTCTGACAAGAAGGGTCTCCCTATTGTTCATCTGGGCAGCTTACTCAGGACACCTGCAAGTGGGGAGGAGGGTAAGGTCCCAGTTGAGCTGGACCTTAAAACATAGATCTGATTCAAATGGAAAGTTTTAGAAGGATGGAGAAGCCCAGAGAAGGCAGCCTGGGCAGGAACGAGATGGAAAGCAATACAGTGCAGGGAAAGAGGGCACAGGCAATGCTAATAGGTCATGGCAAGCTTTCTTCCTGGTCTGGAAAGGTTTCTTGGATCACCCCAATAAGGAGATGGGGCACAGCAATGAATGAAGAATTTTAAGAAGATTAGTACTGTCTTGGCAGAAGAATTAATTGAAAGGGCAAGATGCTAAGATTCATTAAGAATCATGCTCTGTCACAGCATATACCATGTTATATTTATAGAGTGTTAACAACCAGAGAAAAAGGTTTACAGGTGAGACCCACCTCATCATCAGTGTGTTTCTGGGACCATGTCTAAGAAGGGTTAAGCAGCCTTTCTTCTTAGAAAGGAGGTGGCTAATGAAAGAATGACAGTGGAAAAGGAGGGCCTGGATAGAGCTAGGAGTAGTCAGAAGGAGAAAAAGAAAGGGAAGGAAGAATAGGAAGGAAAAATGGGTAAAAAGAAAGAGAAGGAAGAATAGGAAGGAAGAATAGCTTGAATATGAGCCTTAGGGAGGGAAAGGGTCAGTGAAAACTCAGAGACTTCAAGGCGAGGTCCCAGAGCCGGATAGTAAGCAAAGTAGAGTTGTTAAGAGGAGGAACTGTTTTTGAGAGTCATTGAGAAGAGGAAAATAATTCTGATTCTGAACATCTGTAAGTTCAAGCTGTTGCTGATACATCTGGGAAGAAACGTGATAGTAAATCTGTGGTAGATTAAGAGGAGGAAGGAGGGACAGATCAAGTGGAGGGGTGATAAGAATAGTTAGGCAGAATAAATAGAAAATAGAAAGAAACAAGATAAATTTAAAAGAAGAAATAGTTCTCAGTGCTTTATGTAAATATACATAAAGCTGAAATTTTAAAAAAACAATGAATAGAAGGAAGATATAGAGAATAGAGGAAAGGGAAGTGGAGAAAAAAGGAGTGGGGGGAAAGAGGAAATACTGGGGACTGAGGTGGAGCAAATTACACTGCATGCTTGTATGATTACGTCTAAATGAACCCCAATGTTATGTATAACTAAAGGCAGTAATAAAAAAATAATACAAAAACAGAAGAATTCGTTTTGAGAAGAAATTATGGACAGGACTCAGGAACTTATAATAAAATAAATTACTATGGAGCCAGAGACACTTGGATGATGAGGGTGGGAACCTGGCTTTAAAAAAAAACCTTGATATGGCATAAGACATGGAATGCCAGCTCTGGTGGACCACTGGTGTTGTCAGTAGGAACTGAGGAAGAGAAACAGAAGAAAAAAACAAAAGAGAGGTGCTGGTGAAACAAGGCCCTGAGAAAAATCCCATGTGCCAAGGGCATGGTGTACAGCCGAGTGGATTCCTCTCCTCTCCAAAGGTGCGAGGCGCTGGCTGGGAGGTTCTCAGAGTGCTTCTCCTGGATTTGCAGTGACTGCACCCATGCTGCTTCATAACCTTTTCCATTTTAAAGACAAAGAATTAGAAAGAAATTACTCAGTTCCTAGTTAATTTTCAAATTAGGGATTGAGAGAAAACAGGTGATTTTAGAGGAACTATGTTGATAAGAATGAAACTTTATATAGTGGAAATTCAATTAGCCAGAATCTTTGGAGCCTGAAATGTGCTACTTGACCTACTTTCCTACCAGAGAATCCTGTAATTGCCCACCATCCAAGACAGAGACTTGAAGCCACTTGTGGCTTTTTAATGTATTTAATTTCATTTAAGCTTGAGAATTAAACCTTGAGTTTCTTATTCACACTTGCAATATTTTAGGTGCTCAGGAGCCACACATGTAGGTGGTGGCTCTCTATTGGACACCTCGCACATAGGTGTCCATTGTCATCAAAAATTTCTACCCATGGCTGGGGTTGTAGTTCAGTGGTGGAACACTTGACTCGCACATGTGAGACACTGATCCTCAGTACCACATAAAAATAAGTAAAGTAAAGGTATTGTGTCCATTTACAACTAAAAAAAAAAAAAAAGAAAAAATTATAAAAGTTTTACTGATCACACTGCTCTAGGCAAATAGATAGAACTGAGTATATACAGTTTCCTTATCTGTAAAATGTGTGTTTCTTTGTTCTAATTAGATCATATATAGGAACCAAAACTTTTACAAGATATTTGTGTCTTTCTGAAACAGTGTACAAATGTTATTGAGGGAGGTGTAAGTTTTTGCAGGTTCCTACTTCTCAATATTTAGAAAAAAGAAAATCTAGTCATCTGGGTCAAGATCATATAGTAGTTGGTAGATCTCTGAAGGATCTTATATGCCTCCCAAATCCTGCATATTCCTTTTATAGGCTACAGAACTGAGACTCAAGGGTAAAGAGCTATTAGCTGTGCCAGGATTCAGTTCCCTGCCCTACGCCACCTTTTCACTTACTCTCTGCCAAAAAGCAGGAAGGTGGCTTGTGATATCAGACACAAGACATCAGAGAGGGACCCCACAAACCCTTCACACTCCTCTCCTAAAATGTTATAGATGCCAACCCTGATTTCTCTCTATCAAGACTCTGTCTCTGCAGCCTTCCCACCCTCATACTGGATGTGCAAATCTTAAAATGAGCCAAGCTGGAGAAATACTGGCCTGGGACTTGATGCTGGATGTTTCTTGAATGTATCCTACCCTGGCCTTTGGGATTCTAATGAAAATCAATTACAGTGCAGAGGACACATTCATTTTGTTGGCCCCAAATGAAAATCTGTGAACAGAAACCACTAAGGATTCATATTCTTCTGCAATGGTGGTTGCCATAACAACACCTGGGCTAGCTTTACTCAGATAGTTGGCTGACTTATTGCATTGCTGGGGGTTCTAATGGCAGCATCCTGTTATACAATAATTTTCATTATGTCCTGTATGTTGCTTCACTCTATAGTTACTAACGTACAAAGATGAAATTTGTTAAAAGAATGATACTGAAAAAAAAAAAAAAACATTTTGTTCTTTGATGATGATTAAGTTTGGGAATAGCGTTGGGAGTTAGTTGACTGATATTATATGTCTTGAAATGCAGAAGATTAAAGTAACTGTAATAGATGACATTGTACCTGATCAGATCCCTCTTTGGAGTTGCTTAGCGCATCCACCAGCTGCTAAGAATGTTGACTTTAGTTGCTTCTTTTCCAGAAATTTGCCCAAACCATGGGAGTTCTCTTACCTGAAAGGTTTTATAAAACCTCTGAAGCTCTCAGCTGACTCATCTGAAGTCACAAAAGCCCACCTTCCTTTCATCCTGGTAGAGTGACTCTCAAGAGTGCCATTTATACATAGGATCAGGCTGAGAGTGCATTTCTGCTAGAAGTACACCCTGTTTCTTCCTGTGCCCTATCCTCCCTCTTTCTCTCTCCCTTTTGGATTTCTCCTGAGAGTCTACCATCAGTATGTCATGTGCACAGAAATCTTGTTTGTGAGAAGGAGACTTCTCAGGCTCTTCTTGTAGGGAGCCTAAGACACTAATCATTTCAATGGTCTATTTAAATGCTGTATCATAGGAATTTAAGGTGTTCATATCCATAACATTACATGTAATTCTGCTTCAAAGTCATTAGATAAGTTTTCAAATCTGTAAATTTCAGATGAACAGTTATCCTTTCTGATTTTTAATATGCACAGTAACTTTTAATGACTTTTTTTAGGCATTGAACTTATCCCTCAAGTGAGGATAGAAGATTTAAAGCAGATGAAGGTAATTGGACCATTTTGCAGACACTCTTGTATTATGCATGTTGGTAAAACCAAAATATTTTTGTTTCTCTCCAATTGCAATCATTCTGACTACAAAACATACACACGCACACACAACTTATTTTGGATTCTCTTTCCCCCCCCCCCACAGGCTTACTTGAAGCATTTAAAGAAACAACAGAAAGAGCTAAATTCTTTAAAGAAGAAACATGCAAAGGTACAATGTCTTTTGTGTGCATGTGTGTGTTTAATTTCATTGGCTTTCTTTTTGTGTTTCACTTTGATGAAAACCTATAGCTTCTATTTTGTGTTATGTATGGAACAGTTATTCATAGACAAAAGCACTACTTAGGAGCTCATCCTAGCTAACCAGAACAGCAGTATCTTCATTTTAACTGATCTGCAATGGAATTGCAATATAGAATCCATTAGGGTTCCATTGTCACTGCTTTGTAGCCTGCATTTTTAACAATTATTTAAAAAATGTAATGAAGCTTCACCCATTTCAAAATTCTTCCACTAATAATATAACTTTTAAAATCTTGGGAGAACAGTTATATAAAACATTTGGTGACAGCCTGTCGATGACTAGCTCACACGATGGCTGTAGGTTATCTTAATTCCCTGGGTCTGATAGTTCAGCACACACTGTGTGGAGGAAGAAGCTAGTAAGCTCTGTACTTCCTACCTCAACACCTGGAGAGGGAACACTTCTCATTTCCCCAACTCAGGGTTATGTAAGCCCTGCTCAGGAGCCTACTTCTGAAACATATTTATTTTTCCTTTTAACCCATAAGAAATCTTTTTGGCAATGATTGGGAGAAATTGTAAGGGTTGGTTGCAAGTTTAAGAGAACATCTGTAGGTGGGCCCAAGAATTCTCCAGGTGTTGAAAAATATCCCAGCTCACAAACAAGATCCTTTTTTCCATTCTTCCCTCACAAAGAAGGGAGAAAAAATGCAGTATCATTTTCCTTTCTAAACTGTGTAACACGTGCTGCTGCGGCTTCTGCTGGGAGGACAGTGTATGCCCTTTTCTGTGAAGGGCAATAAGAGCAAAAGAAACATCATTTTTTTAATCTTTTTTTTTGTTTGGATATACATGACAGTAGGGTGTATTTTGACATATTATACATACATGTGGTGCAACCCATTACAATTTCGATCCCATTCTTGTGGTTGAACATGATGTGGAGTTACACTGATCATGTATTCATATGTGAGCATGGAAAAGTTATATCAGATTCATTCCCATCCCCTCTCCCCTCATTCCCCTTTGTCTAATCAAAAGAATTTCTATACATCCCCTCTCTACCCACCATTGTTATGGGTTAATATTCACCTATCAGAGAGAACATGTCCATCTTTGGTTTGGGAGGACTGGCTTATTTCAATTAACATGATATTCGCCAGTTCCATCCATTTACTGGTAAATGCCATAATTTCATTTTTCTTTATAGCTGAGTAATATTCTATTGTGTATATATACCACTTTTTCTTTATCCATTTATCTGATGAAGGGCACCTAAGTTGGTTCTGTAGCTTACCTTTTGTGAATTGAGCTGCTATTAACATTGGTGTGGCTGTGTCACTGTAGTATGCTGATTTTAAGTCATTTGGGTATATACCGAGGAGTGGGATAGCTGGGTCAAATGGTGGTTCCATTCCAAGTTTTCTAAGGAATTTCCATACTGCCTTCCAGAGTGGTTGCACCAATTTGCAGTCCCACCAGCAATATATGAGTGAACCTTTTTCCCTACATCCTCATCAACAGTTATTGTTACTTTTATTCTTGATAATTGCCATTCTGACTGGAATGAGATAGAATCTCAGAGTGGTTTTAATTTGCCTTTCTCTAATTGCTAGAGATTTTGAATATTTTTTCATATTTTTTTAAATTTATTTGTTTATTTATTTTAATAAACTATATAAGACAGCAGAATGCATTTTGATTCGTTGTACACAATTGCAGCACAACTGTTCATTTCTCTGGTTATACCTGATGTAGCATTGTTCAGTCATACATGTACCTAGGGTAATGATGTCCATCCATCTCATTCCACTATCTTTCCTGCCCCCATACCCCTTCTCCTTACCTCCCCTCCCTCCCCCCTTTGCCCAATCAAATTTCCTCCATTTTTTTTTCCATGCCCCCTCACATTATGGATCAGCATCCACTTGTCAGAAAGAACATTTGGCCTTTTTGACCATTCATATTTCTTCTGTGACATGCCTGTTCAGTCAGTTCCTTTGATGATTATTGATTGAGTTATTTGGGGTTTTGGATGTTAAGTTTTTGAGTTCTTTGTATATCCTGAAGATTAAAGCATTAAAGATTTTCTGCCATTTCTCTAGGCTCTCTCTTCACATTCTTGATTGTTTCCTTTGCTGTGAAGAAACTTTTTAGTTTGAATCCATCCCATTTATTGATTCTTGATTTTAATTCTTGTTCTTTAGGAGTTTTATTGAGGAAGTCTATTCCTGAGCCGATATGATGGAGAGTTGGACCTACTTTTTCTTCTAGTAGACACAAGGTTTCTGGTCTAATGCATAAGTCCTTTATCCACTTTGGATGGATTTTTGTGCAGAGTGAGATATAGGGGTTCATTTTTTACTTTGAAATGACTTCTGAGTCACTTTAAAATAACCTTGCAATTCCATTCTTTATACTTACAAAGAATTCCATTCTTTATACTTATCCCAAGCTTCACCCCAAGGCATGCCTTGTAGTCCTGGGCTTGAACAGTATACTGCTGAATCACTCTAGATATTAAGATGCAAAATATATGGCCTGAAAGCCCATCACTTCTTTGAGAATTTTTTCTCATTTGAAGTTAGGCCTAATCATGGCCTATTAATGTTCCCTATTAGTGAATCAATGGTTCAGCAAATTTGCTGACACAGAGGTCACTTCAAATACCTGAGTTCCTAAATTCATGAGCAATTCCATTCAGTGGATTTCCTCTCCTTGCCCATTTGGGAAATACTGAATATGTTTTTTTAAGTGTGGGGCTCTTAGAGACAGAGATGTTTAAAGTAAGGATTTCAATTTTGTGGCATATTTGCAATAAATAGAGTATGGAAAAGCAATAGAGAGAGAAGAAAGGAAATAAGAGAGAATGCAAGTGAAAAGATTTTAATAATTAGGAATGAAGTTGATGCCCAAGTGCCACAGCATTATGTAACAGATTTCCCTTGCATTTAAGGTGGATTTCTGTCATTGAGAATGCATCTCAGTGACCTTTGGCATATTTAGGTAGGTAAATTTTTTTGGCTTCATTTAATATTTCCTTGAAGCATGGCCAGGAAATATACTGTGACTGATAATAATAACAACAGTTACAACAGCTACAATTTTTCCATGTTTTCCAGATGCCAAACTAGTACATTATGTGCATTGTCTCAATCAATGAGCCTTCGTTTGCACTTTAGGAAATTAAGGACTAGTGAGTTTGAGCAATTTAACTAATGTTTTAGAGTTAAGGAGCAAGAGAGCTGGTAATTGAACCCAAATCGTCTAAGTCTAGAACTCATACTCTTTATTTCCTTTTTATTTTTTTTTGGTACTGGAGATTGAACCCAGGGACACTTAATCACTGAAGTACATTCTTAGTTCTTTTTATTTTTTTATTTTTTTATTTTGAGATAGTGTCTTGCTAAGTTGCTTAAGACCTCACCAAATTTCTGTGAACTTGGAATCCTCCTACCTCACCTCCTGAGTCACTAGGTATATATGCACCTCTATGCCTGACTTTATTGCATTATTCTGTGTAGGATATTGGATGCTTCACAGAATGAACAAGTCCACTCTCACTGGGTCAAATGCAGTGACAACACATGGGATATTAAGGAAATTCCCTATTTACTTGGACAGTGTTGATGTACTAGTTATCTTGATGGTTACTGAGGAAGAATGTGCCTCAGTTCTTTTTGAGTTGACCTACATCATACATACAGTCACCTATTGATTCTCTTGTCTTAACTTTGAGTCAAACTGAGTCCCAACTGACTCAGGTCATTTCACAGACTTATCTGTTTAATCACATAACTGCAAAGATGGGAAACTTTTTTCCTGAGAGACCATTTATAAGTAACAGTGGGTCTTTCCTTCCACCTCAAATGCCTTGGGCTTCATTCCATTCATTTCCTTCTCCCAGATTAGGAGGAAAATATTAATCTCATTCATCAGCCAGTAGGTCCCAAATGACTAGATGGTTCTAAGCGGCCCTCATTTGCAGGAAATAATCTGCAGCTTATTCAAGTCCCCTTATTATAACAGGAAATACAAGATTTTAAATGTCCCCAAATACTGCTGTCTGAATTTATGTGGACTTTCATAACACTTTTACTGTGCACTTTTGGGGAGGAAGCTTTAGCTCTGTTACTTACAGAGCCAAAGTGCCACGATGGTAGAACTTATTTGCTCCTTTTTAGAATGCTTTTCAGAAGCATTTCTGAACAAGTAAATGCATTTCACCTGTCTTTCATATCCTTTTACACTTCAGAAGTCAAAGGCATAAGTGTGATTATAAACTTATGAATGAATTTTGTCTCCCACTTTAAATATACCAGGGATCCAGTTTTTTATCCAGCTTGTGTTGGCAGTATAATTTATGAAATCTGAACTCTAGAGTCTTTTATATAAACTATTATGACTAATAAAGCTAATATTTATTTAATGCCACTTTTGTGTCACATATTTTATATACATTCTTAAAACCTCACAATATTTCTGAAACCTAAAATAATACTCTCCAAATTTTAGACATGAATGAAATGAAATTCAGAGAAGGGAAGTCTCTTACCCAGAACAATATAACTAGTTAAATGCTGATTAAAACCTGTTTGCATAATTCTTAACATCATATCTTTACCACTTATCACATTGTCTATTTTTATTTTTTAAAAAAAGGATTTGGTCTCTTTTGGTTGTCTAAGGGCTTTGTAAATCATTATTGTCCGATAATTGAACCTTCTTGTCTATAGATATTCTGTATTTTTTTCAGTCCATATTATTTTCTTAAGATTTTCCACTGTTTCATCTAAGCCAACTTCTAAGATGAAGAATATATATATTTACTTGTCTATATATACTGAGGCCTACTTGCTAATATGCTTGTCTTGCACACACAAAAAATGAAAAACTAGTGAAGGACAATGTGAAGATGCAGCAAATCTGTTACCATTGGGACATGCTGGTACCGAATCTCCTTTTGAC